CTCTCTCTCTCTCTCTCTCTCTCTCTCTCTCTCTCTCTCTCTCCCCTTCTGTCTCAAAGTATCCAAAGGATGCTAGAAATTAGAACCTTACTCCACCAGAGGGTGGGATAACCATCTTGCCCCAGAGCTCACTGCCATCTTTTCATTACCCAGGAGAGGAGAACCTTCCAAATATTAAGGCAGAATCCCTTTAAAAACAGCCTTCTCCCTGAAAGATCTCCTATTAGCCCCTACTGGAAGCCTACAACTCACTCCCACCTCCCCACAGAATTTAGCTTCTCTATGTAATTGCTATTTAATGTAGTTCAGTCTTCAGGTTTACACACACACAACACACACACACACCATCTTCATCACATATCCCAGCATTGGGAGGGACACAAGTGTCATCCCAGCCCCTATGCTGTCTCGGCCCCAACAGATGAGAATAAGGTGGAGATGTCTGTTGATGGGAAGGCGTGTTGTAACAGGCCCTGCAGGATAGGCTATGTTTCTCCCTTGTCGCCTGGGCGATGCTGAGGCAATGGACCCGGGACAGACAATATCACAGAGGCCATGGGGTGATTGAACTCTGTTAACTGATTCAGTTGTGGGGGGAGTTAGGGAGAAGGGTGGGACATGGACCATAGCCAAGATTGAAAAATGAGAGTAGGGCAGGGTTGAGGATGGAAGTGGATAGGAGGCTGGGGAGGCGAGAAGCAACCTGTCATGAAATGTATATACATCTATGGTTATCTCAGGATCATAGGATTTAGAGTTGCTGGAGGATTAGAGATCTTCCATTCTGGGTAGTGGGGAGTATCATAGGATAGCAGAGAGAGGACTGAATTTGAAATGTAGTTATTTGAGTTTGAACCCCACCACTGCTATTTACTAGCCATGTAAATTTGAGCAAGTCTCAACTCCTCTGGGCCTCAGTCCCATTATAGTAATAATGATGATGATGATGATGATGATGATGATGATGATAGCAGCTAACATTTATATAGCACTTTACATGTGTTATCTCATTTGAGCTTCACAGCAACCCTGTGAGATAGATGTTATTCTAATCCCCATTTAATAGATTAAGAAAGGTTAAGTGACTTGCCCTAGGTCACACAACTAATAAGTATCTGAGACAGGATTTGAACTTAGCTCTTCCTGAGGCAGGTAATTGGCTCAGTAGATATAGCACTAGCCTGGAGTCATAAAGGCTGGACTCAGACATTTACTAGCTATGTGACCCTGGGCAAGTCACTTAAGCTCTGTTTGTCTAGGAAGGAGCTGGGTGGCTCAGTGGATGAGGCATGAGGCCTAGAGTCAAGAAGACCTAAGTTCAAAAAAAGCCTCAGATACTCACTAGCTGTGTGACCCTGGGCAAATCATTTAAGCTTAATCCATTGGAGAAGGAAATGGCGAACCACCCCAGTATCTTTGCAAAAGAACCCCCATGGATGGTATGGTCCAAGGGGTCATAGAGAGTCACACAACTGAACAACAATTCTCAGTCCTGACTCCAGGTCTAGCAGTCACCCACTGGGACTCCTCATTGCTTCTCCAACTATAACATGAGGGTACTGTATCACGAGAGGTCCTTCCCTTTTTGCTCTAAATTTGTAATGTGACTCCCTTGCTTTATAGAAATCGAGACCAGAGAAGTAGGTGACTTTCCTGGAATCACCATCCAGTCTTCCTTCTGCTAATGCCACAGAATCCTGAGTCTTCTCCTGGGGCATCTAGCTCAGAATGTCAGAGCTAGAAGGAACTTTGAGATCAGCTGATCAAATGACCTCATTTGACAGAGGAGAAACAAACTTTTCCTTTAGAGAAGGAAAGTGTCTTCGCCAAGATCACTCAGCCTAGACTCCAAGCCAGGTCTTCTAATTCCAACTCATACTCTCCCCACCACACTATACAATTTCTTGGATTCTGTGAGTTGCTAAAATACACCTCCCTGTGACATGGGCCAAGTCATCCCATAGTTATATCCCATACATACAATCCCACCTGCCAGAGTTGCTATGGGATCTGGTGAGATGGTAAAGCTGTTTTACACTTAAGCTTGTATGGTATGGTCACTCTGTCCTAAGCCTCACTCTTGCTCCAGACGTGGAGAGTGGGAGAGATTGGCAGTTCTGTCTGAGAGATGAGCTCTGCCACCTGGCTTGTCTTGCCTTAGTAGCAGCTGATACCTGTATATTAGTTCTTGCCCTGTTTCAGTCTCAATTTCTTCTTCTATAAAACTATAGAATTAGATAATAGGATTCCCAAGTTTCTGATATTCTAGTGTTTTATGATTCTAATGTGGTTGGGAATTCTGCATTGAGACAATCCTTGATTAACTGGAATGCTTAGGGAAAGGAGGAACTTATTGGTATTTGGTTTTTCAGGTTGACTGAGGGTTTCAGCACTGTCAAAGGTCTTTTTTTTTAAGATTTTCTTATTTTCTTTTATTTTACATTCTTTTTTAAAATTTTAATTAATTAATTAATTTTTAGTTTTCAAAACTTCTATTCACTTCTATAAGAGTTTGAGCTCTAAATTTTTTCCCTCCCTCTCATCCCCCCTGCATGCAATCTGATACAGATTACATGTGTACAATCATATTAAATGTATTTCCACATTATTCATGTTGTCAAAAGTCTTTCTAAAATGTCTTGGTGAATTGTGGTATAGTGGAAAGGGCAAAACATTTGGAACTATAAGACTTGGGTTCAGATGCTGGCCCTACTGTTTATTATCTCTGCATCCTTGAGCAAATAATTTAATTTCTCTGGACCTCAGTTTCTTCTTCTGTCAAATGAGAGATTTGACCTAGATGACCTCTAAGCCCCCTTCCAGTGAGAACATTCTGCAGTCCCAACTTAGGAAAGTGACACTATTTAACATAATAACACTTTGTTTTGTAACTATTAAGTTTATCAAATATTATATAGTATTTATATATGTATGTATTATCTAGTATTTATATATGTATATGTATGTATATACATATATATGTCAGTTTATCAAATATTATATAGTATATATGTATATGTATATATGTATGCATATATATACATATATACATTTTTGTATGTATATACATATACATATATATGTGTGTGTGTGTGTTTATCAGTTATCCCTCTGTAACCTTCCTCTCCTCATCCATGTTGTAAGATCTATGATGGCAGAAATTTTCTCTTATCTAAACTGTGTATTACCGCTAGCACCTAGCACAGTGTCCTTTTCATAGTCTGCTCTTAATATCTATTATATTGTGTAGTTGGAGAAATACAATGGGGCAGTGCATAGAGGACTGGTCTTGGATTCAGACATTCAACTTAAGAAGCATTTATTAAGGGAGGGCCTACTTTATGTGCCAAGTTTAGGGCAACAAAGACAAAAGATGAAAAGAATTAACTGTTCTCAAAGAGCTTCCCTTCAGCTGGGGAAAGATAATACAGAAACACCTAAGTAAATTTTTAAAATTTGCGTTATAAATACAAAGTAATGGGGAGTCTGAGGGAATGAGAATTGCTATCCACTGGATTCAAATCTAGTTATCTGACCACATGTGGACAGACTACTACATGTCTCAGTATCATGGCTCTGTCCTGCACCTCAGCTCTTTATAAATGTAAATCAGCAGTTCTCAAAGAGTGATCTGAGGACCCTTGAGGTCCCTAAGATCCTTTTAGGGGGTTTACAAGGTCAAAACTATTTTTATAATAAGACCAAGATACTATTTGCATCTTAAAATATTCCTTCCTTTTCCAACAACATGTCTGTGTGAGGCCAGATTTTCTTCATATACTTCAACCAAAACAACCTATCACAATAGACTGAATACAGAAGGAGAGAGGAGAATCCAGCTCTCTCTCTATTAAGCCAGACATTTGGTTTACAATAAAATATGTAAAACAATGCTACTCTTCTCACTAAATTTGTTTTTGTTTTGGAAAATAGAGTTCTTTTTCATAAAAATATGTTATTTATGATAAATAATGGCCTTATTGTTATTAATGAAGTATTAAACGTTTTAAAATTTTATCCATTTTAATTTCTAAATATTGAGAGCTAAAATGTCCATAAACAAAAGCTCTTTGGGGGCCTCAATAATTTCATTGAGCGTAAAAGGACCCTGAGACCAAAGTGTTTGAGAACTGATGATGTAAATAACATATATAACAGATCTGCAGCTGGGGAGGAAGTGTCTATATTAGGAGTTCCCCTACTCAGATGAAATGACAGTTCTGGACATTCCTTCCTCAAAAAAAAAAACCCTTCTATAATTGAACCATCGTTAGACAGTTAAACATCTAGCAAGGCCAAAGGATCAGCATTACAAGCTACAGGACACTCACTAAACAGGGCAATGAGACACAGCAGGTATCTGTAGGAGACCAGGCTGAATGCTACTTGACTCCAGGACAGTGCCCTGGAAAAAAGTAAATCTCAGGTAACATATTTTCCTAAGATCTGACCCTTTACCCTCAAAGTGGAGTACCGGGGAAGGGGGGTGGGAGGGAATTCATATAACTGATTATTACAATCAATTTGGTTCCCGTTAGTGGAGGCTTCACATAGTTTAATGTGGTCGTTTAACCCCCTGAGGTCTTGTCGAAATTGCACAGAGGTTTCACATCCTAGAGTTTGGCTCTGATCCCTTCCCAGGTCTGAGGATCTATCCTAATGGGAGAAGCCAGACTCTAAACTCAATGGTGAGATGACCTCATAGAGTCAGCCCAGTTCCAGGAAGGTCATGCCTTGACTTTGTTCTCTACTTCTGACATATCCCCTGTTTGGTGTTCAAAGCCCTTCATGATCTGACTTCTTCCTATCTTTCCAGTCTTCTTAGACTTTACTCCCCTCTACATGTTCTATGATCGATGAACCGATGCTGGCCTCCTGGAACAAGACATTCCATTTCTAGGCTCCAGTCATTTTCACTGGCTTTCTCTCATCTCTGGAATTCTTTCCTTCCTCAGCCCTGCCCCCTAGGTTCCCTGATCTGCTTCAAGCCCCAGCTAAAATTCTACCTTCTATAAGAAGTTTTTCCCAGTTCCTCTTAATGCTGGTGCCTTCCTTTTATTGATTATCCTCAATCTATCCTGTATAGCTTTTGTTTATTATACATAGTTATTTATGTGTCTTCTCCCTTATTAGGCTATGGGCTTCTCCAGAGGAGGGACTGAGGGATTTTCCTGTTTTTGTTGTTTTTTGCTGCTCTTTGACTTCCTAGCACTTAGCAGAGTGCCTGGCTCCTAATAGATGCTTAATAAATGCTTATTGACTTACTGCTTTCTCCCTCTTCAAATCTTTGCATGTTTACTTCTCAATGCATGAGTTATATCTTCTCAAGGGCAGAGAATGCTTCATTTTTACTTTATTAAAAAAAAACTTTTATTTATTTGTTTATTTGTTTATTCACTCTATATCCCCCAACCCTTAGTGATAGCTTTGTAGCCACGTAGGCATTTAACAAAATTTTATAGAATTGAATTATCCTAAAGGTGAAGCCTAGAGAGGGTAGGAGCTATTCACTTTCATTTGGCACAGTACTGGGTACTCTGATCTGATGCCAACTGACCTAGGCCTTGCCTAGCTTTCCTTCCAGATCCAGGATGAGGAAGGGCTAGATGGGAGGGGGTGAGCTAATCTCTTTGTCCCTAAGAATCCTCCTTCTTCCTGCCTTGCAGGGGCATCAGTAGCTCATAGGAATCCCTTTAAATGTCAATCTGGCACCCCAGCTCTGTCCTCCCCAGCCACGGCTTCCAGAATCACATTCCAGTCTTTAGTACTATTTGCCATCAGTCTCAGCTCTGATCCCTCTGTTACCCAACAGAACAGTTTTGATTGGCATCCTCTGAAGTGACAGCCTGTCTTGCTCTGATTATCAGAATTTTTCTTTCTTGAAAAGAGGAATGGGGGGCGGTGGGAAACCAACCAGCCTGACAGGCATGTTGAAGCTAGAAGGGCTGATAAAAGGTCTCCAGATAACATCTCTCTCCTGGGTTGATTTAATAAACCTACGGTTATAGTTTGTCAAATCCTCTTCATGCTGACTGCCAGGTAGAATTGAAATAAAATAATTTAGAGAAGGGGAGGAGAGAGGTGAGGGTAAGGAGGAAGAGACAGAGCTGGTCTCGTTGGAATAACAGTGACTTGATTTAAATGTCAGTGCCAGGTGGGAGCAGTGGCAGATCTGTGGCTATGCTTATTCCTGGGCTTTGTAGGGCTGATATAAGATCTCTTGTGTGCTTTATAGCAGGTCTTGAGCCTGAGCCTAGGCTCTTGAACTGAACTGTAACTAGGAATTTTTTTGGGCCACAAACCAGATTCAGGACAAATTGTGCAAAGGGTACCCTCTGTTGCACGGAGAGAGAGGGTCAGGTCACCATCCAATGTGAGAGAGACAGAGATACCAATGGGAGCCTGCATCTTGGAAGGCTACTACAAGATGAGTTGGGGGAGAAGCTCACTTCAGCCTCAAATCTGGCAGCTTCTTATTTTAACTAATCATTCCTACTAACTAGGGCTAAGGTTTTTTTTTTGTTTTGTTTTGTTTTGTGCTGCTGAAAGACTGCAAGTGATGTCAGCACCCTCTAAATTCAGCAGCCGGGGTCAATGCCCAGGTCACCCTGTCCTAGTTACAGTTCTGTAGGTGAGCTCAAATTCCTTCCTGGTTGACATTTGAAGGGATTCATATGAGGCAGTGATCACCCTGTATGACAGAAAGAAGGAAGGATCCGGAGAGAGACATTCTTATCCCAACTCTGTCAGCTGTTGGGGTTAGAGATCACAAGGATGCTTATATAAGATGTGATTTGTTAGTACAGCCCCGAGGTGGAGTGGGAGACTTCTGTGCCTACAAATCACTTCTTAACCTGCTAACTCATTAGAATATGCCAAATACCAAATAGTTCTTAAGCATGCTAATCACTGATTTTAAAGGATTATTGCAGTAAACCATAATTAACCGTTTATAACAGCAGTTTGGGCTTAATTAGACTCTAGTGAGCTCCAGGGTTTCTCAGGAAATGGAGAGCCAATTGCCAGGTCACCGAAGCCATGGCCTCCATCACTCTTTCTTTGCTTCCAGCCTCTGACCCCAACACAGCCTCCTGGACAATCCAGCTGCAGGGCCTCCCCTCCCCTGTGTTGTTCCCTTAGCCCTACAGTGCTGAAATGTCAGTATTTACAGTGGTTTTACTTGAATAAATTCTCAGCTTATTCTGACCAACACCATGAGAGACAAATGAAGTATAAGACTCAGTTCTAGCTCTCTCTCTCTCTCTCTGTCTCTTACTTTAAGCAAAGGAAATTCTACAAACCCTTTCATCTACTCTTACCATCACTTCAAAGTGATTCTTCTTCTGTTGCAGCTAACTGAAAGGGGAACATTTTTGTAGGAAGATTCCACTCCCCCTCCCCACCTTCACCTCCCCAACAGAACTTTTTTTTCTGGAAGTAAAGAACCAGAAACAAAGTAGGAGTCAATCTGTTGGGAAATTGCTGAACAGATGTGGTCGATGAATGTAATGCAATATTATTGCGCTGTAAGGAATGATGGATAGGAGGAATTAGGATGTGGGGAGATAGTGAGTTTCTTACCAGCCAAAATACAGTCCCAAAGCAAGGGGCTTTTGCTGCTGACAGATATGTATAATAAAGCCAGAAATTCTAGTTGGGTGGTAGAAAATAATGACCTTGCCTTCTTAGCTTCTCTTTTGTCCTGGAATGAATTCATTGCAGGCTGAACAAGAGAGGATCTTGGGAATGTGTGCCCTTCTCTTATGATCCCTATCCACTGTCATTCACCTCACTGATGGTGTGTATATTTGTGGGGTTATTAGTGGAATGGAGACCAAAAGAGAAGGTATATCAAGAAATGACTGTGATGTAAAAACAACAGGCATCTCTCAAAGAAGCTTATGTTCTAATTGGGGTGGGGGGGTGGGGGGGTGGATACAATCTATACAATCCATGCATAGATAATGCGATAAGAGAATTTCTGACTCAACTTTATTACTGCCATTTACTTAAGATAATCCTGTCGTACAGTTGGCTTCACAATAAGTAAATACAAGGTATTTACAAATGTTATCATTGGGTGGCCCAGAGGGTGCCCTCCCACAATGTCTCTATTCTGGGCTCACATGGATCTAGATTTATCCTAAAGGAGCCTGATCCCGAAGTGGGGGGGGGGGGGGGGAGGGGGTATGTGCAGAAGGGGGCAGGCTTTTTCTTTTCTGTCTTTGCTGGAATAAGTAAACTCCAGTAAAATCTCTAAAACAAGGCTAGCATGGTTTATGTCTAGGGGTCTTGATAAAATGTAACAAGGGTTTCTTCTAAACCAGGAGAACATTGTACACAGTAACAGCAACATTGTGCAATGGTTGCAAAGTTGGTTGGTACCAACTTTGATAGACAGTTTTTCTCAGCAATACAATGATCAGATTCTAAGACAATTCCAAAAGACTCATCATGGAAAATGCTATCCACCTCAGGAGAAGGAGCTATGGAGCCTTAATGCATATCAAAGCATGCTATTTTCTCTCTCTTTTTTTCTTTCTCTTGGTTTTTCCCTTTTCTTCTGACTCTTCTTTCACAACATGACTGATGTGGAAATATGTTTAATATGATTATATATGTATAGCCTATATTAGATTGCATGCTGTCTTGGGGAGGGGGAAGGAGAGGGAGGGAAAAAAATTGGAACTGAAAATTTTATTGAGGTGAATGCTGAAAACCATCTTTATATGTAATTGAAAAAAACAAAATACTATTAAGTGGGAGGGGAGGAAGAGTTTCTTCTAGAAAAGATATCCAATATGTGAAATAGGCATCAGGTGTAGAACAGCTATTTATTTCTTCCACCATAGAAACTGCAAAACACAAATGACTCACAAATATGCACAGACGCAAAAAAGATAAAATACATCCAATGGCCATTTACATTCTTATCCTCTCCCTGCCAGGTAAAGGTCTCTTGCAGGACTTCTCAACAGGCATTTCCCATTCATTTGGGCTGTCTAACTCATAAGGTCCAGATCTCCTGGCCAGCCAAAGCATGACTCAAATAGATTTCCTTTGATTAATCAACTAAAGAAGATCCCTTGGTAGTCCCTTCTCTGAGAATCTCTCCTCCCTCTGATTGGTTGATGTCTGAATCTTAAACTCAGGACCTCTCAATCCATGAAATAGCTGCCAAGGCAGGCTCAAACTCATCCTTTTCTTTGGATCTCAAGTGGCTGGTCTGCTCTCAAGTAAGAAAACAACAAAGGAAGAAAAAAACAAGTGACCAAGGACTGAGTCTCACCTAGCCATGTGCTTGTGGCACCATTGTCACTGGGAGGAAGAGAATTTCTTTGCCTTATTTTGTTGGAATCCCAAGGTAGGGAAAGCACTAGAAAAGTCTTAAAAGAGAAGGACCTCCTCCCCAAAAAAGAGGGGGGG